GTCGAGGTGAAGCTGAAGAGGAAAAGCCTATCTTGAATGGTTTTCCTTTTTCCAATAGGGCAGCTAAGGTGGGCCAGGTATCTTTGCCCTCCAGGGGTGCAGGTGTGCTGTTTTGATTCTTTAATCATTCACATAAATTAAAGCCTATTCCTTTGCATTTAAAAAAATAATATAAAATGACACTCTCCATGTTTTATTGCCAGGCAAGAGCTTTGAACTTCTGTCTCATTGAAGTTTGATAAACTGTAAGGATTTTCCAGGGCTGGGTGGTACACTTAACCACAGAGGGAATATTTGGCTGATAAGAACTGCAGGTGAAAGAAACCACCAAGGAGCAGCAATTAGAGAGCGCTTCACACTTGGCTGTTGGCTGGTGTGAAATTCTCATGGAAAGGAGCCTTTCCCTACCTTTGCAGCTCATAGCTCCTTCTCTTCACCACCCACAGCTTAATAAAGCACCAGGACTTCCTGTTTCCACTTTGTGAACTGGGAATGGGTGGGGTGAATACTTTGTGGTGGGGTGGTTCTTTGTAAAAAACTTGAAATTTGGGGACAAGTTCTAACTTCATACAAATGGTATGCAGGTGGGGACAGGACAGAAATACATGCACGTGCACATGCATATATACACATGCATAAATTCACACAGACACAAAAAGACCGTGTATCTCAGATGATTTTATTGTTACCGTACATACCTGTCTTTGTGCTGTTTGTAAAATGAAGATAATTTTTGCTTCCCTCATGGGATTATAACTTGTTAATGATGAGGCAGTGTATTAGAGCACAGATTCTTGTTATCAGACAAGCCTTGGTTTAAATCTTGGCCCCTCTGCTTGCTTTGTAATCTTGAGCCAATTAATTCTTTAAGTCTCAGTTCTCCCATTTGTAAAGTAAAAATGCCTATCATATGATTGTTTTGAAAATTAAATAATGTGTATAAAACATTCAGCACATTTTCTGGCCCATTATTCAATAAGTTGCACAGGGGCTCAAAAAAAGCAGCTGTTATTGTAATATTAAAGTAAATGTCTGATTGGCAAATAAATGTGAAATGGGTATAGTCCTTTATTTTTCTTTCTTTTCTCTCTTTTTTTTAGTGTAATCTATTTTCCAAAAAATACCTCCTTTTTAAATTTCTGGGATGACAAAAGTGCTTTGATTCTAACTGCTCTAAAACATTTCCTATGTAAAGGGCTTTCACACTAACTTTTAGTCCCTGGAGCAAGGGAGGAGAAGCAGCAGGATTTGCTTCTAAGTGGATCTCTTTCATTTCTACCATCAAAAAGAAAAAAAAAAAATCCTGTACTAGCCTTAGGTAGAGGTAAGTCATAAAAAGGCCATGTTGCCCAAGGAAGGAATTTTTTTTTTTTTGTCAGATCAGGGTAAGTGGGTAGAGGAAGGAAGGGGCGCACAGAGGTGAAAATACAGGTGATTTTACTGTTTGGCCATGTTTTCTTCCCAGTTTAATGTTTACTTAGTTATAATGATTGGTATTTTGAAAATAATTATTGCCACGTTTGTCTCACAGCTTCATTTTCAGATTTGGCGCTTTTTTCTTTTTTACTGTTTTCTTTTCTTAGTGCTTGGGATGGAACCAGGGCCTAATTCGTGCTAGTGCATGCCCCGCCACCGACTACACCCCCAGCTCCCAGTTTTGGCCTTTTTGTAGTTGTTGTTGCTATGTTTTTGCAGTACTGGGGATCGAACCCAGGGCCTCCCCAATGTTAGGTAAGTTCTCTCCACGTGGCTCTGTCTCCATCCCTTTAGGCCATTTCTTAAAGAAACAGTTTTCCTGTTGGATGAATTGAGTCCATGAAGCTCTGGTTTTGTTTTGTTTTGACATCCTTTTATTGGGGGAAGGGCAATTTGCAGTGGTTGATAGTTGTTAGTTTGAGGAAGTACTTCATACAGGTAAGACAGACAACTCATGGAAAATGTGACCATGTTGCTTTTCTGGACTTCAGGCTGGTGCAAACATGGTGAAACCTTGGGTCACTATTGTCAGATGAAGAAGGCTTGGTGGATTTGTTTTATGAACTTCACTAGACTATCAGGACTTCAGAAATAGTATTTTGGGTTTTTTAAATTAATTTACAGTAGACTACATTTTGACATATTGTTCACAAATGGAGCACAACTTCTCATTCCTCCGGCTGTATATGGTACAGAGTCGCTCCAGTAATGTAATCATACATGTATATAGGGTAGTAATGTCTGTCTCATTCTACTGTCCTTCCCATCGTCACAGCCCCACCCCCTCCCCTCACTCCCCTCAACACAAACTAAAAAGTTCCTTCATTCTTCCCTATCCTTGCACCCCACTATGGATCAGTATCTGCTTATCAGAGAAAACATTCGGCTTTTGTTTTTTGGGGATTGGCTTATTTCACTTAGCATGATATTCTCTAGTTCCATCCATTTACCTGTAAATGCCATAATTTCATTCTTTTTAAAGGACAAGCAATATTCCACTGTGTATATGTACCACATTTTCTTTATCCATTCATCTGTTGAAGAGTATCTATTTTGAAGGGTATCATAGTTTAGTTATTGTAAATTGAGCTGCTATAAACATTGATGTGGCTGCATCACTGTGTATGCTGATTTGAAGTCTTCTGGGTATAAAATGAAGAGTAGGATAGCTGGATCAAATGGTGTATCCATTCCAAGTTTTCTGGGGTATCTCCATACTGCTTTCCATAGTGTTTTCACCAATTTGCAGTCCCACCAGCATTGTGTGAGTGTACCTTTTCCCCCACATCCTTGCCAACACTTATTGTTTCTTTCTTTTTTTGTGTGGTGCTGGGGGATTGAACCCAGGGCCTTGTGCATGCGAAGCAAGCACTCTACCAACTGAGCTATATCCCCAGTCCTCCTGTATTCTTGATAATTGCCATTCTGACTGCAGTGAGGTGAAATCTTGGAGTAGTTTTGATTTGCATTTCTCTAATAGCTAGAGATAATGAACATTTTTTCATGTTTGTTGATTGATTGTATTTCTTCTTCTGTGAAGTGTATGTTCAGTTTCTTAGCCCATGTATTGATTGTTTTGTGGGGGTTAAGTTTTTTGAGTTCTTTATATATCCTGGAGAGATTATTGTTCTATTTTAGATACATGTGGTAAAGATTTTTTTTCCCCACAGAAATAGTTTTTTGAAGCATACATTTTGGCAAATTTTAGGTAATCTTTCCATATTTTCCTGAGGAATGAAACTATACTTAAGCAAATATCAACCTTGGCAGTAACTTCTTAGAATTGCTTTTTGGCAGGATATTCATTACTTTTGGATTGGTCTTATTGCTCCAGAATAAAGTATTTTTCTAAATTTTTGGGTGATGGATGTGAACATGAATTGGAAGCTCTTTTGTAAAGTATGTCAGGATACAATTGTCATAACTAAAGATAAAATTCAGGGTAAGTAGAAGAAGCATTAGCTGAGCCCTGCTATATAGGAATCTCCAGCTTTTATTATTTTTTAGTAAATCCCAATAACCCTTTCTGATAGGCTTGCTCCCTGCTCCTCCTAGGTAATAATAATAAACTCAGGACTTTATGCATGCTACACAAATGTTCTACCACTAAGGTATAATCCTGGCCCTTCTGATGGACTTTTAAAAAAAAAAATAATTTGTTTTAGTTGTAGATGAACACAATACCTTTATTTTATTTATTTATTTTTATATGGCACTGAGGATCAAACCCAGTGCCTCACACATACTAGGCAAGTGCTCTACCACTGAGCTACGACCCCAGACCCTCTGATGGACTTTTAAGAAAATGTATCAAGTATGTAGTACGCATTAGGCACTGTGGTGTTTTACATACCTTATTTTATTTAATTTTTAAAACCCTATTTGGCAGGTGAGGTAGGATTATTATTCACATTTTACAAGGAGGAAATAGGCTTGGGGATAATTTGTTCAGTGTCACACAGCTGGGAAATGGTAGGGCTGAAAATGGAACTTGGGTCTCCCTGAACTCCAAAGCCCATGTTCTTAAGCAATGATTCTTAAGCTTCAGGGCACATAAGAAACACCAAAGGTATTTATTAATAATTACTGGGATCCAGTTAGAAGTTTATGATCCCTAAGTCTACAAATCTGCATTTTAATAGGGAATCTTAGTCAGATCAAGAGATTGATCTGATTGATTATACTTTGAGAAATAGATTGAAATTATATTGCTTTTTCACACTTGATATAGAAGAAAACAGGTGTAGATAAAGTAATTATCCCAGATTAAGTTATAAAAGACAGAGCCATGATTCAACCCAGATCTGATAATGACTTAATGAATCCCACTATTACATATAATGTAACAATAAAAAATAACCCAAGTCTGTCTAGCTGAAATATTCACATTCTGTATCACAAGCCCAGTGTTAACTGACACATTTCTCAGTCACAACAAATGTAGAAAATATGATATGTAATAAATTGAGCTACCCAGATTTCATGCTGTTGTTATTTACCAGTGTCGTAACTTACACCACAGTTTTGGAATTTCCATGGTCTTTAGCCTTTTTCGGTAACTTTTTTAAAATTAAAGAACTAAGTTTTCTTTACAGTCAGATCATCCTGGCTTCAGGAATGGAATTCCTAGAATAAGGTTTTGAACATGCAGAAGCAGAGGGAACTTGGTGGAAGAGGAATAAAGAAGAGAACTTCCCGGTGTATTTCTTAAGCGGTGCTAAAGCGCCTCAGCACTGAAAGAAGCGTCTTCCTCACTGAAAGAAGAATGAAAGGTTGATGCTGATACTAACCATGAGCCAGATGGCAGTAGCTTGTGTTCTTCACGTTTGTTCATCCCCTATTTGGTCCATTGAGATCATAGCTCAGTTAGGGCCAGCAAGTTTGCTCTGCCTATTCCAGTCCACTTCCTAGGGTAGAGCTCACCTTGATTGACTTGTAAGGCCTCCTACTGGAATTGGAAGAACGTTACTGATCTTTAAAAAATCTCTCTCATTTTCTCTTTCTCTCTTGCTTTTTGTTTGCAGCCCAGCGACATGTCCTCACGTACATGGAGGATGCAGTGTGTCAACTGCTAGAGAACAGGGAGGATATTAGCCAGTATGGCATTGCCAGGTTCTTCACTGAATAGTAAGTACATGAATGCTTTGCTAAAAGGGCGAACCCAAAAGAGGTACTTGGAAGCAGGCAGGATACATGAAGAATAGAGCAGAACAATGATGATTATGTAGTGGCAGTGAATGTTTAGTTCTGGAAGGTTGATTGAAGTCTGCCTGACATGTTTGGGAGCATGCCTTTCATGAAGCTAGTTTTGTCCAGTGATATGTTGTGAGGATGGTTATGACTATAGTAGTTAGTTAACAACTGCTTGTTTGATCTATTAAATCTGTTTCTTCAGGTTCCTCTTATAGTTTTTAACTTTCTCCTTTATTCATAATATTCACTGATTTCCTTTAGTTGGTGATCCTTTAGCCTCTCTTTTTCATGGCTTACTTTTGTCATGAAATTGATTAAAATGGTGTTCCTGGGCAGTTTTCTTTCTGTAGGATGTCATACAAATTACTTAATGATTTATGAGCATTTTTAGAGGGATACATCTTTCATAGATTATATTGTTTGAAGAGTCATGCTTCAGGGTGAAATATGCGTGGAGCTGGGTGCAGTGTTAGACACCTTAATACCAACGACTCAGAAGGCTGAGACAGGAGGATCACAAGTTTGGGGCCAGCCTCAGCAACTTAGTGAGACCCTCTTTCAAAATAAAATAAAAATGGCTGGGGATGTAGCTCAATGGTAGAGCATTCCTGGGTTCAGTCTCTCATACTGCAAATAAATAAATAAATAAATAGTACTGCAAATAAATAAAAATTATGACTGAGCTATGGAAAAGTAAAAATGGTTATTATGTTTAGAATATCACAGAACTGTTTTTAGGCTGAATGAGATAATCACTTTTTAAAAACACATTAATCTTAGACAGGCATGTTGGTGTACACCTATAATTCCAGCTACTTGGGAGGTAGAGACAAGAGATCTGAACTGAAGTTCAAGGCCAGCCTGGGCAACTTAGTGAGACCCTGTTTCTATTAAAATAAAAATTTTCAACAAGACTTGAAATGTAGCCCAGTGGTAGAACACTTGCCTAGCACATGCAAGTCCCTGGGTTTAATCCCCAACACCAAACAAACAAACTAATGAACAAAAAATTCTCTTAATCTTCATGAAAAGATATGCTAAAGAAATACAAAGTGTTAGCTGGGCTTGGTGGCTCACACCTGTAATGACAGTGGCTCGGGAAGCTGAGGCAGGAGAATTACAAGTTCAAGGCCAGACTCAGCAACCTAGAGAGGCTCTGTCTCAAAAAATTAAAAAAAGGGCCCGGGATGTGGCTCAGTAGTTAAGTGCCCTTGGGTTCAGTCCCTGGTACCAAAAAAACGAAATACAAACCATTATTTTTATGGCCAATATGCCATCATATATTTATATAATCTCTTGGATTCTCTTTCCTTTTTTTCCTGGCTTTTTGGGAACATTCTAAGACAGGAAGAATAACCTCTATAGGCTTCCTGTTAAGGTGAATTATGAACTGAAGTCTGTCTTCCTTTACCATAGATTTCCCCCCCCCCCACCGCCCCGCATCTATCCTCCAGGTTCTCATTGGGGATTAGACAGCTATTCTTTTTAAAATTAAAAGTTCTTAAATTTATTTAAAACTAAAGTCTATACTTGGGTTTCTGTTAGAAGAACACTTGTACTCTCCCTAGGTCTTTTTATTTTAGTTGTCAATGGACCTTTATTTTACTTATTTATATGCAGTGCTGAGAATTGAACCCAGTGCCTCACACATCAGGCAAGCGCTCTACCACTGAGCCACAACCCCAGCCCTTCTTTTGCTTTTTGTTTTTTGTTACTGTGGGTTGAACCCAGTGACACTCTATCACTGAGCTTGCCTCCAGACCTTTTTAATTTTTTGATGTTGAGACAAGGTCTTGCTAAGTTGCCCAGAGTTGCCTCAAATTTGGTAATCTTCCTGCCTCAGCCTCCAGAATAATGAACTGGAGCTCTAATGGATTTGAATTTTAAGTTCTTGGGAAAGCAAACTTTCTGGGCAGAGGGCTAGCTGCTTCTCCCAGCCTTCTAAAGGAGGATGAAGTACAGAAAGGAATCTTGTTCTCATGGTGTGGACTGAAGCAAGTGAGGTGGGCAGCGAATAAAGGCTAAGATTGAATAGCCTTGCTTGCTTTTACAGAACTGACAAGCCAGGGGTCAAGTTTCTAGGCCATTTAATCTGTACCAGCACTCAGGAGGCTCCTTGCCAAGTGAAATATGACTCTTCTGGGGGTAAGGCTTCTTCCTGGCCTTTTCTTCATTTAACCACCCTACCCCACCTCCTTTATAAGTCTTTTCTCTTGTGGTTCCTTAACGGTTGGCATCGTTTCTTCTTCATCTCTGTTTGCCTACTACTTGGTGTGGTGTATAACATGTAATAAATGTTAGGTAAATATTTCTTGCTCTAACTGTATCTACATTTTAAGCTATAACATGTTTTCTATTCTTTTTCTTGATCTTATTATAATGAGGACTATTTTTCTTGTTTGTTTGTTTTTTCCCCTCTCTGTTGTTAATTTTAGGGAGTAGAACACTGTATTCTGCTCTTTAGGAAGCTGTGACTAGCACTGCAAGTGAACCCCACTGGTCTATGTAACTGATACTGAACTCTAGAGAACTAGTAGTGAGATTTATAGCTGTTTTAGAATGCTGTTAACTATAGATAGCTTTTCATCTGCCAATATACTACTGAAAAATTTTTAAAGATTTTTTACACTACTGAGAGAAATCTAGTTGCCAAGTAAGCTGTTTCTGGTTCCCAGGAAACTAAAAATTACATAATGTATGTGAGTGGCACATACCTGACACTTCTATAACTCTAAGACATCAGATTGGCCTGAGGTTAAGTTATTTTGAGAAGTGAAAGGCATGCCAGCATCAAAGCTACAAAGACATTTTTTTCCCCCTGTACCGGGGATTGAACCCAGCAGTGCTTAAGCACTAAACCACATCCCCAGCCCTTTTTCTATTTTATTTTGAGACAGGGTCTCACTAAGTTGCTTAGTGCCTTGCTAAGTTGCTGAGGCTGCCTCAGCCTCCCAAGCCACTGGGGTTGTAGGCATGTGCCACTGTGCCTGACCAAAGACATTTTTTTTTTTAATACTAAAAAGTTCTAGCTATATGACAGAATGGTAAGCAAGGGATCCTGATTGTTAGAAGCTCCTGATTTTACTTTTGACTGTAAAGATTTAGCTAGTGAAAATCCTTCTGTTTCAGGCCCCCAGTTTGTATTGATTCATAGGAGAAAGTTGAGCTCCTTATTCCTATAAATTCTCTCTCTGCGCCCTTAGGCACATTTCTGAAAACTGGCTTCAGTTGCCTCATCTATGAAAGAGTTTTAATAAAGCTTTACATGCTTATATTAATAATATAATAATTACATGTTATAATGGGCAGTTTTTATTAAATTCATGCTATGTCTCATCCACTACAATTCTTTGAGGTATTGGTACAATTATTATTTCTATTTCATTGATAAGGAAACTGAGACTCCTCGATGTAATGCTTTAAAGAGCTTCTTCAAGTTCACAAGCTAATAAGTGTCAGAGTTAGGAGTTTGCCTGCAAATTCCACTGTTGTCCACTGCCTTCACATCATTTTAGTGCCTCATGTTGCTGGAGGCCTACCCTGATAAATTTGAGATCTCTGCTAGATATGATTTCTGCAATTCTTGAATTTTCCCTATGAATGATACTCTGTAAACTTATCTTATATCCTTGTCCAGTGACGTCAATTCATTACCATTTATATATTTAGTATTGGCCTTTTGGGGGATACAGTTGGACCTATCTCTAAATAGCAGGAAGCTTGACTTTAAAAAAAAATATGTTAACTGTACACTTCTTGCAGTTTCAAGTTCATGCCTTTTCATACATTTAATGATGGGTGATTTAACCTTTAAACAATGGCAGAGTTATTCCTTGAAGTTGTTTTTGGAGGGTTTTTATGTTGATTTTCTTTTTTTTAAAAAAAAAGTTTTTTTTGTAGTTGTAGATTGACAGAATGCCTTTATTTTATTTGTTTATTTTTACGTAGTGCTGAGGATCGAATCCAGTGCCTCATGCCAGCTAGGCAAGTGCTCTGCCTCTAAGCTGCAGCCCCAGCCTTGTTGATTTTCTTCTTTAAAGTGCTTGCCCTCTCACCTTTGCTGTTATCCCTTGGTTGTTTGTGTTTTCAAACAAGTTCATGATTATTCCAGCAAATATGGATGAAATGTAAAACACAAGGGGCTGAGCAGCACTATGTGTATGTCTGCAAGACAGTTAGGTCTGCAGGTCAGATTCCTCTGGACACTCTTGAGAGAAGGGTTAGTACATATAATTCCAGAGGATTTTCTTTTATGTTATATGTAACCTCTACTTCTGAGTTCTGTCCTTCAACCAGGGGAAGGTAAAAGAAATTAACATTTAGAGGTGCTACTCTAAGAATAGACCAAGTCAGTGCTGGGTCAGGCCCTCTGAAGGAGTGCATCCAAGAAAATGAGGCTGGAGTGGCTGTGACTTAGAGACCACAGCAGAGTACGACCAGGTTCTTGTGGCTTTTTAAGACATTGGAAAATAATGATGGGAGAAAAACAGGCTGAAATCTGAGAATTCCTATCAGAATTGGGAACCATTCTTCACAGGCTAAATTGATAGTTATAACCCTGTGGCATCAGGGAGCTTGACTTCCACATACTAATATAGAAAAGAGTGATTACTCTGTGGTCTTGGTCAGTGGGCCCAGGAGGGCTCTTTCTTATGATCAAATTATCTTGTTTTTGTTTTTGTTTTTTTAAATGATGGATTTTAGTTTCTTGGTGAAAGTTTGATGATGACTGTTGCAAGGAAAAGAAGTACACAGATTACCTTCATTGATGGAGGTTTATTTTAAGGATGAAAACACAGACAGCTGGGTGTGGTAGCTCATGCCTGTAATCCCAGCAACTCCAGAGGCTGAGGTAGGGGGGTTGCAAGTTTGAAACCAGCTTTCACAACTTAGTGAAGCCCTAAGCAACTTAGTGAGACCCTGTATCAAAATAA